AAGGAAAGTAAAAGGAAAGAATAAAAGGAAAGAAAGTAAAAGGAAGGAATAAAAGAATTTTGAAATTAAACAGAAATAGAGAAGGAAAAAGAGAAGAAAAAAATCGAAAAAAGGATAAAGAAAGGATGAATGAAGAAAGAAGCAAAGTTTTGGTTAAGCGAAGGGAGAAGGAATATAGAGAGAGGAAAAAAGAAAAGGGAAGAAAGATAGGAAAAAAGGAGGAAATAAAAATTTCAAGAGAATATTTTATTCTAGAATATTGCTGGGTTATGGAATAAGGAGAAAGAATTTTGGAGGCATGATATATAGAAGATTTCGATTTTACCTGTGTGAAACATATATGAGCAGAAGAAAAAGATTGAAAAAGAGAATCAAAGATTATCAAAATCATATGTGTGGATATGTAGCTAGACAAAAAAAATTAAGAGAATTGAAGGTAGGGCAGTGTCAAGAAGGGTTTGTGTTAGATATGAAGAAGGACTGGAGGAAAGAAGGCAGCGAGTCAAAAAGATGATAATCATATCTAAAAAGAGGATGAAAGAAAGTGTGATCATCCTGTATAACAGAAATAATTAGAAGAAATTTAAAGAAGAGGATGGAAAGTTTAGTGATGAAACGGGAGGAAAACATAATAGCGGAGGATTTGAATCGTCACTGCCAAAAGATTTTCGGAAACTTGAAAATTCTCAGAAAATAAGCAACAAAAGCACTTCTTCAACTGCGCTCTAGTTCTGAATAAATGATAAGATTCTGCACAATCCTTATTACTCAAATTATATAAAAAGAGCATATTCGTCAAAATCAAATTCCTTTAACGTTTTGCTCCTATTGTACGTACTATACGAGTACATCCTTAAGGGAAACACTTCCGATGACCTTGACATATGTTGTCAAAGTAACGACACAAAGCGTGACCTTTAAAAGGTTTTAGCCGTCGTTCATTATTCATTAAAAAGTTATTAATAATAATAATAAAGTTTTACAAAATATTTTATTCAATATTATTTAATAAGATTATTAAGTTTTAATTCTATGAAAATGTACAATTATAGACCTTGTTTCATCTCACAAGCAGGGATGGGTGTGGAGTAGACCTTGTTTCACATAAAAAGTAAATCCATGTTATACAGAAGAACAGAGTTTACTGGGCATAACGAAATCTATAGTTATATTGACCCACATGGGTTTTCGACTTTTCACGTAAAGCAGAGTCTATGTCACACCTATCTCTGCAGCTTATGAGACAAAACGATGACTATAATTGTATTGTTTTACGTGGTGTGTGTGTGCGTGTGTGTGCGTGCGTGCGTGCGTGCGTGCGTGCGTGCGTGCGTGCGTGCGTGCGTGCGTGCGTGCGTGCGTGCGTGCGTGCGTGCGTGCGTGCGTGCGTGCGTGCGTGCGTGCGTGCGTGCGTGCGTGTGTGTGCGTGTGCGTGTATGCGCGCGCGAAGTAGTATGTATATATATTGTATAATACCAGTTTACAGAAATATACAATGTAATAAATGAATCAAGTTCAATCATACTTTATCATTCAATAAAATGGCTGTGAATTTACTTTGCCTCTTTATGATATCATTTATGTAGATAATATTGCGCACTTAATGCTGTATACACACAACTCATAGCAATGTATTTTATTATGTATATTTTATTTGGTTTTTCATATGAATACTACGAATGAGAATATTTTACTATACTATGCTATAATGTGTTACATGACAGTGTTCAGTTTAAAAGGAAACTTAATAAACTTAAAACAAAAGTTGATTGTGTATTTTAAACTTAGAATGAATTTAAAACAAAAGTTAATTGTGTATTTTTAGTCTTATATTTGATTGAAAAAACGTTTCATATATTTATTAACCTTCAAATGGTACAAGAGTGCGAATTCGCACCGCAAAAATTTTCGAATTGCTGGCATTTGCACAGAGATATCTGTCGTGGCTTATCCCCACTATGTTAAATATGCCCGGTACCTCCGGTGTCAGGGGAGGTAAGAACATGCACAGCCTCAGTCTCGTGCAGATTGATGAGATATAAACTTCGCAAGTTTGTTGTGGTGCATATTTGCACTTGTATTTAAACAGTGTGTGCCAGATCGGTGCTTACTTTTTTCCATTCGCAGACGCTATCTTCATTAAAACTTATATGTATTTTTTTTATATACTATCATTTATTAATTCTTTTGAATTATAACATTATTTGTACAAAAATGTGATTTTTGACATAATATATATATATATATATATAATTGAATCAAAAGTAACATATTACAAGAAATAGAAATAAAAAAAATTACAAAACGCTTATAAAATTATAAAAGAATGAAAAATAGAACTTGTTATGTATTTTTATAGAATCACCTAAAGGATCAGGGCAAGAGAAATATAATTTGCGTAGCGCAAAAAATATTGTAAAATCGCTTGAGGAAATAGCAATTCCGACTGTGATTCCGAACACTCTGATTCGGACAACGAAGAATTTATTATTTCCGACGACAAAAGAAATGACGAGGAGTCAGCTAAGGAAAATTCTGGGGATGACGATTTTGATGCGGAATGCGAAAATGTGACGAAAAGAAAACGGCTTACTGAAAGTGCTGAGAAACAACGTCGAAGAAGTCGTCCTCGAAAAAGGGTGCCAACAAGAAATTGTCTCATAAAATGGTCTGAAATTGAACCTAACAGGCACGGTCGACGTTCCAGCGGATCTAACACATGCAGAGAGTCTCCGAAAAATAAAGTGTGCAATATTACAACTCCTTTACAAGCGTTTCAGGTATTACTTGATAATGCTATATTACAAAAAATTATGATGGACACTAATGAACAAATAGCTCGTGAAGTTGAACGCTTAAGATTAAAAAATCATTTACCTCAATCCTTTCATGGGCCATGTTAATGAAATTAAGCTAAATGTATTTTTTGGCATATGTTATTATAGTGCATGTTACAAAAAAAATAAATTGAATATTATTAATATGTGGTCAAAAGTATTTGGTCGCGGAATTTATTGCGCAGTATTTTCCGAGAAAAGATTTGATTTTTTAACTCGTATGATTCGCTTCGATGATAAAAATACTAGACAGCAGCGTAGAAGCATGGACAAATTGGCACCGATTAAGGAAATATGGGACATTTTTATACAAAATTGTATTACCAATTACGAGCCCTCCAGTAATTGCATAGATGATGTTAGTATCTTTCCGCGGAAGATGTATTTTTAGAATATATATCAAAAATAAGCCAGAAATACGGCTTAAAAATTTTCATGCTCAATGACACGGAAACATTCTACATGCTCGCTGCGATTCCATATGTAGGAAAAGTAACTCCAGAACAAAATGATTCTGTTCCAATGTATTTTGTAAAAACCTCTCACCTAACGTAAACATTTCATTGGTATTAAAGCTCTATAAAGTTCTATAGCTCATTGTACAAAAAAAGTAATTCGCATCGGATTATTTGCACGAATAATACAAGACTTTTTGAGCTACGATTAGAAGCGTAGAAAAACAATTATCGCTTAGAATGCAATTTGTGGTAATTCGTACGCTCGGCTGAGGTAAAGACAGCAAAAATTACGTTTGGCAGTAGTGCCGGATTTTCCAAGAGATGGTACTTCAATAAGTTAGATAAGGACATTCCGCGTGTTTGAGTGAGACAGAAGATATTGTAAGAAGTTCATTTAGAGATACCACTGACACTGAAGAGTCTGCTTTATCGACCTCGTACAAATTTTTCCGACCTTCCAGCATCGCCTTAAAAGCTGACAATGCGAAACTTACACCCTCAAAGTTTTTAAGAGATCTAGCTTTTGGTCTAATAGAACCACATTAGCGTCGTCGTCTAGAACACCGAACAATGCGCCTATCAATAAAAAAATTAATTTGCAAAATTTTGCTTATTGATTTTTCGGTTCATTCGTACGTTTTTAATAATAAAAGAAGATACGAGAGCGAGATGCAATCTCTGTGATTTTGACGCAAGTGGACAAACACGTATAAGATGTCCGAATTGCATGCGCAGAATGTGCGATAACCATCGCTCAGCGTTATGTATTGAATGCGAGCGTTTTACACATTTTTAAACATTGTAATATGTTTCTATTTTTTACATTATAATAACAAATAAAACATTCGTATGTATAATCTTATTCTATCTATTTTCTCTGTCTTAACATTCATGATAACATAAACAGTACTTTTTAATATAATTTTAATTATGTAAACGGTATTTATTAATTCACTTTATAAATTGACAAGATTTGTACTTAAAATACCTAATTTTCATTGAAATTATTTTTAAAAAGATTTATTAGAAAGATTCATTAGAAACAAATTACTATTAAATGGACAGAAAATATTCCAACTTCTGGCTATAGAAAAATATTTTACTTTCTATTTCTGCAACAATAATTTTTTAATAAAGTACATCAATTTAACTAAAGAATCACGCAAGTTTCACTTCATTTCATGAAATAACAAAAAAAATGGCAGCTCTTCTTCGAAAACGTAACGTTTTCGAAACGGTAACTCATTTATAATTAATTTTCAATTGTTAAATAGTTTTTTCATTAAATTGAGTAATACCGCTGGATTTTCGAGAAAATTTTACCCCAAAAAAGTGGGGTTTTCAAAACATTTATGTTTTTATTCTCAGGAAAGATGTACAATTTAAGATGTTAAATTCAAATTCGCACCATCATTCCATTAGTGGATGCTTGAAAGAAGTGTACCATTTGAAGGTTAAAAAAAGCTAAATATTTTTATAAATCTTTATCATAATGATTTATTAATTATTTTTATAATATTTACCATAATATTTACCATAAACATATTTATGATATTTATGATAAATCTTTATGATCCATCTGTCCAATCTGAGACCATAAAAATATTTATGAAATATTTTGATATATTTTGTAAATAATCTTGTAAGTAATCTTCAAATCTTATAAATATTTTATAAATATTGTGTGCTGTCGGCAAAATATATTTAAATAATTTTAAAAAATGTTAAATTTATGTAAAAGCATATTTCATTATCATTCATAGTCACTTATTATATTTAATAAAAATAATAATTTACTGTATGCAGTAGTTTATAAATTTGACAGATAATTCATAATTCATAGAGATAATAAAATAGTAAAGTCAAAAAAGGTCAAGCAGCAGCCAAGCGACTGATATGATGATCTGAACATTAATCTAAATATGTTATAATTGATTAATTTCATATAATAACATATAGAAGATCTTACATAAAAGTATATATGCTAATTTTGTACCATTTTTAAATAAATAATTATTTACGTTTTAGATTATTAGATTAAGAGGTAACATCACTGTAGAGGCAGAAAAAAGGCCTAATTTTGACAATTTTTTTTTGGGAGTATGAGAAAAGGAATATGATTTCTGTTCGGAGAGTTTATTGAGCATATATCGAAGTACAAAAAAACACTTTTTTATTGTCATTTTTATACAAAATGGCGGCGTAAGTCCCCATCTTGAAAAACGCCTTATTTTGAAACGCTAAAACGGGCGGAAAGTTTTCTTAAAAACTATGAGACCTGGAACACAAAACCAAAGATTTTCTTAATCTACATACTATTTGCTGTGGAACATCGTAAGAGTTTTTTTTAAATCAAATTTTGTAGAAATGGCACGCTTTTGAAGAAAAAAATGGAATTTTGAGCCAAAAAATAAGCAGTAAATTGTTTATAAAAAAAAGTTTTGATTTAATCGAAAAACCCCTACGATGTTCCACAGCAAATAGTATGTAGATTAAGAAAATCTTTGGTTTTTTGTTCTAGGTCTCATAGTTTTTAAGAAAACTTTCCGCTCGTTTTGGCGTTTCAAGTTTTTCAAGATGGGGACTGACGCCGCCATTTTGTATAAAAATGGCAATAAAAAAATGTTTTTTTGTACTTCGATATATACTCAATAAACCCTCTGAACAGAAATCATATTCCTTTTCTCATACTCCCCAAAAAAATTGTTAAAAAGTTAGGCCTTTTTTCTGCCTCTACAGTGGTGTTACTCCTTAATCAAATTTACTATTAAAAAAACAAAAAATGCTACAATATCAAATATATA